GGGTTTGTGCAGAGTGCACGCATGTATAAGATCAAATTAGAAGTCGGTTCAACGACAAGTCAGGGGTCCGGGGGCAGCACTCATGGGTCCGGGGTTCCCAAAGGGGCAACGCCCCTAGTGGGATCCAAAGGGAAAAGCCCCTGGCTAGGATCCTGCTGCTAGGTCATCGGGTGGGGTCGAGGGCATCGCCCCTTGGCGGGGTCTAGGGGAAGCACCCCTAGCGAGGTCCAAGGGGAAGATCCCCTGGCTGGGGTCCCGCTGCCAGGTCAGTGGGGGGCAAAGCCCCCGCAGGGTTTGGGGCACGCCCCTTGGTGAGGTCTAGGGGCAACGCCCCTAGCGGGGTCCAAAGGGGCAGAGCCCCTAGCTGGAGTCCCACTAATTTGCTTCCAAAGCAAATCATAATGGCCCAACCCTAATGAAATCCTAATCTTGTTTATTATCTAAACGGTTCTTCCTTCTTAGAAGAAACACATGATATTTAGCTCTCATTTTCTTTAAACTTTCACAGAATCTTTCTAGCAATTTGGCTTATTATTTTTTGTGCCTAGTATCGTAAGTGTCCACTTGGATTATCCTATGCTGAATTTCTTGCAACCCAAGCATATAGTAGAAATATCCGTTCGGAAAGTGTCTCACGATCTAAGTTGGTATTCAGATCTACACCACAAACCTAAATTTCTAACAGTTTAGTTAATGGTATCGAACATAACTATTCTAAAATTTCGTGAAGTCATAAATTTTCTATTATCCAAAGCTATGTAATTTTAAAGATTTATATTTCGTTTTAAAATTAATCACATTTGTGGCACCGGTTCTAGTTCCGGATAACTTATTATAAAAAAAGACTTTGTTACTAGACGTAATGATCATAAAATTTTCTCAAGTTATTTTATAAATTGTAACAAATTCTTTTTGAATCTTTAGATAATACAACACTCATTATTCATTATTAATATAGATTTTCATATAAAAGTCTATATTTGTAACAATTGTTACAAGTTATGATCTGATGATAGAGGCGTGTGGTAAGAGAGGAACTTGTTACAAGTTACGATCTGATGATAGAGGCATGCGGTAAGAGAGGAACTGAAATTTAGGATTTTCTGCACATAGTGGCGACATGTTGCAAACATTATTTAATTTGTAACACGATTTAATGATGTGGCACACGCCGACACAAAGAAGACTCGCGTCGCGAATCACAAAATCCTTCTTCCTGTTTCATTTATTGTTGACCATTTTTCATCTGAAATCGTATCGAATTTTTTTCTTTTTACATTTGAAACCGTATAAATACATTTTTTTTATATATAAAAAACACATTTATTGTTTAAGTACACATTTTTAAAGCTTAATGTTATTTATAAATAAGTATTATTAATATTATAACCATTTTTAATAAATATCTAATTTTAATGTAAAACAAGCATTTATACATAAAATAAGTAATTTTGATGTTAAAATAGGGTTTAAACGATGTCATGTTACATGAATATATGTATCGGTTTTTAATCATGAGTATGATATATATATATATATATATATATATATATATATATATATATATATATATATATATATATATATATATATATATATATATATATATATAGTTCATACTATCCGAAAATAAAGGGTTAATGATCTAGAAAGGTAATGAACTTTGGTCTTTATTCACATTTAGGTAATCATGTTTTTTTTGTTCACATTTGACCATTGAATTTTTTTCACCTGTTCAAAATAGGGTAATATGACTTGTAATTAGCGATAACATTACCTTATTATGAACAGATCAAACAAGTTTACTAGTTAAATGTGTACGAAAAAACATGGTTACCTAAATATGGACAAAAACAAAACTTCCTTACCTATTTTGGTAATATTGGGTTCTTTAAGTTAAGTGCAATTAGTCATAAGATTCATTGATATGAAATGAAATTGGGTTGTCCGGTCTTGTATATGAGGAGATGGTTAAGTCTTGGGCCAACCCAGTTTAAGCTCAACTAGTTAGGGTTAGGTTGTATACACTTAAGGGGCTAGGTTGTATGTGTTTTAAAAACCGAGCAACACAGCTTAGCCTATGACTAGCCATGACTAAACTAGGTTACACCAAGCTAACCTAACTGTTCATTGACTGTCGGAGCCTAATCCTAGGGCACATAGTCCCTAAGACGATTCTTGTCCAGTATTACCAAAACTTGTAAGAAACTTTGGATTTTGTTTGTATTTAGGTAACCATAATTTTTTCATACACATTTGGCTAATAAACTTGTTTGACATGTTCATAATAGGGTAATATTACCGTAATTACCGATCATATTACCCTATTTTGAACAGGTCAAACAACTTCAATGGTCAAATGTAAACGAAAAAAAAATGGTAACTTAAATATAGACAAAGACAAAAGTTCGTTACCTTTCTAGCTCATTAACCCTAAAACAAATGAATAAGAGAAGTACCTCATAAATCATGAGAGGCCATGTAATTTTAATTTTATGAATCGAAGAATTGTTTTTAGCTTACTGGTTTATTTTTATCTTCTTCATTCCTTTTTAATCAATTATATAATCTCATGAATAGAAACCATGTTGCTACACGTATGTATGCGTATAGTATGTATAGTATGTATATATTACTGAAATAAAGTTGTATATAAAATGCTACATTAGTACATATTTTTTATATAAATACAAATTTTTAATACAATTTAACAATATTTTCATGTATTTATTTTAATTTAAACAATATTTCTACATTAAAATTACATATTATATACAAAAATACATATTTAAAATTAAACTTTGGTATTTAATGATAAATATTGTTAGAAATAAATAATACCCATATATATATATATATATATATATATATATATATATATATATATATATATATATATATATATATAACATTATTTAATATTTTTATTTATGAAAAAAATGGAATTCTAAGTGTAAAAAATATGTATTTATATATTTTCAAATGTAATATATATATATATATATATATATATATATATATATATATATATATATATATATATATATATATATATATATATATATATATATATATATATATATATAGATCCGGTAAAAAAAAATTTTTGGTAGGAAGGTAAGAATTTTTTTTTTCTACATATTTTTTTGTACGAACAAAATAAATGAATCACTAAATGATTCATTTCTAAGATGATTCACAAGAAAAAATTTCCAAAAAAACATCTTTATGATTCATTTTTAAGTAAATTAAGAAAAAATTCATTTTTATGATAATTTTAGTTAATAACAACAAAATGATTGTATAAATGAATCATTGAGATGTGTTTTTGAGAATATTTTCTTGTGAATCATCTTACAAATGAATCATCTAATGATTCATTTTGTTTGTTCGCAAAAAAAAAATATGTAGAAAAAAATTTCTTACCTTCCTACCAAAAATTTCCTTCTTATTTGATCTTGACTATATATATATATATATATATATATATATATTATATATATATATATATATATATATATGTCACACCCCCAAACCAGGACGGCGGAAACGTGTGTACGTAGATGACTTTCATGTATAGTATCATAACAAATGAATAGTTGTGATCAAAGCATTACAACCATCATAATGAATATTTAATAAGTTTACATTGTACTCAAAACATTGTTTGATTGATATCAAATACGTATAACAAAAATAAATAACATGACGCGGTGATGCCTATCCTCCAAAAACTCTTTGATTACCCGTATACTTATTTCCTGAGAATACAAGTGATTTTGAAAAGTGTGAACAATTAAGTTGGTGAGTTCATAAGCATGTTGTATGAGAGAAATCGGTAGTTTTTCCTTGTAAGAGAATGATAGAGTATGCTTTCATAAAATCCAATATTTTCTTTAAAAATGAACTGTAAGTCTTAAACCCAAGACTAACATGTAAGTAATGTTGTACTGGAACATAGTGTTATGAAGTTTTATCTTTATATAAAACTACTTGAATGTACGTTAACCCCGTAAACCATATGTGTTGTTAATACCTAATGTAAGTTATCATAACCATACTAATGACTAGTTGGCCTGCTACGACGTTCTTCAGGCATCAGAATGGTATGACATTTGTCACCCTAAACTGGCCGATCTACCTGTAGCTAACAGCTTAGGTGCGGGGTTGTCAATCCCATATAGATCTATACACAAGTGTCACGCTCTCCCTACAAGAGACTCTGGTTATAATTCATGACTTAGTGTGTACTCTGGTGGGTAAGATGAAGCCAAAAGTCTCACAAAATTGTATCAACCGATTTACGTGCACTGAAAACCCATTTTTCTTGTAAATGAATGCATTACTCTTCCATAGTGGTTACATAGAGTAAAAATAATTATACCCTTAAATAATTATATGTTTCTTCCATAATGATAGTGTAGTGTTTGTGACTCCCAAACTATACCAATTATAGCTTATTATGTTTGTTTCTTAAGACTATTTATATAATCATTTATATACATACATAGT